AACCCTAAACCCTAGACCCTACACACCCTACAACAGCTCTTTGTGGTTTAACCTCTATACATAAACCCAAAACCCTGCAAATCCTAAACCCGAAGCCCTAAATCCAGAACTCTAAGCTCTAAATCCTACAAAATCCTAAACGCTAAACCCTAAACCCCCAAACCCCTAAGCCCTAAACCCCTAAACTCTAAGCCCCTAAACTTAAACCCTAATGCAAATACTAAACCCTAATGCAAATACTAAGCCATAAACCCCAAACCCCTCAACCCAGACTCTTTACCCCTAAACCCTAAACCCCTAAACCCCTACTTTAGGAAACCCCAAAAACCCTAAACCCCTACACCCCTAAACCCCTAAACCCCTAAACCCCTAAACCCCTAAATCCCTAAGCCCCTAAGCCCCTAAACCCCTAAGCCCATACTTTAGGAAACCCCTAAACCCCAAAGCCCCGAGCCCCTAAACCCTAAACCCCTAAACCGTAAGCCCTAAACCCCAATCCCCTAAACCCTAAACCCTAAACCTTAAACCTTAAACCCTAAACCCTAAACCCTAAACCCCTAGACCCTAAATCCTAAACCCTAAGCCCTAAGCCCGAAACCCCTAAAACCCTAAACCGTAAAGCCAGAGGAGTGGTTCAAGAAGTACGTGCCAGATGCAGAGCCTGAGATGCCCACAGCCTTCTTCCGTTTATTGCTGTTTAGGGACTTTGGGTTTAGGGTTTAGGGTTTAGGGTTTAGGGTTTAGGGTTTAAGGTGTTTTAGGGTTTTAGGGTTTTAGGGTTTTAGGGTTTTAGGGTTTTAGGGTTTTAGGGTTAAGGGGTTTCGGGGTTTAGGGTTTAGGTTTAGGGTTTAGGGTGTAGGAGTTCAGGGTTTAGGGGTTTAGGGGATCAGGGTTTAGGGGTTTAGGGGAATTCGGGGTGTTGCCGAGGTTTTTGGGGGGTTCAGGGTTTCGGTGGCTCTTTGGCGGGTCAACCCAGGAGCAGATTCCGGGGATCGAAAGCCTGACGCCAGATGACAAAGCCATCATCACCGACTTGGTTGCGCTGGGCAGGAATCCGATGCGGTATGTGCCTTGGGGAGCACAGTGAAGGGTTTAGGGTTTAGGGTTTAGGGTTTCGGGTTTCAGGTTTCGGGTTTAGGGTTTAGGATTTAGGGGGGTTTCCGAAATTCGGTGTACCTAATTGGGGTCCTGATTTTAAGGGAATCCGACTATTTGGGGGTGTATATTTGCGGTCCCTTATTTTCGTTTATTTTCGTAAACTCCCCTGTTCCTTGCCTGATAACCCCACAGTGAAGCCTAGAAGGGTTAGGGTTCACATACCTTCATAGAGCATAGCGTCGTAGAGGGCAGTATAGGGTATATTTAGGTCACATGTGGCCCCCAAGGTGGTCACCGTCACAGAGTCGCGCGAGGCATCAGGTGAGATACAGCTGGTGTGCACCAACATGAACGGGGACGCCGTGTGTCCAAACTTGCGGCCTGACACCAAGGCCAACGTGAGACTTAGTAGCAGAGTATGTAACCTTCAACCTTTTTGGGGGTAATATAATACCACTAAAATCCAAAAGGTTTAACCTTTACATCCCCTAGGTACTGGACAGCTAAGGAGAAGGCACGTTGCGCAGCATGTGGGCCGGCGAGAGACTGAAGTCGAGTTGGTCAACGCTGATGGCTCCTTGTTTGACGGAGCCTCAGGCCCGTCCCGCGGTGCCAAGAGGAAGGCGCCAGGGAGCGATTCGAGAGCTGCCCTGTTGGCGTCTGCTGGTGGCGCGTGAGGTGAGTTTCGACTGATGTGCGACTCAGGTGACGGCGTGACATTCATCGGCTATTTGCTTAAGAAACTCCCAGAAAATGAATCACATGATCCCTAGATTGCCCTTGTAAGGAAGAATATTGTTTATTGTTTGGGGGATTCTTAAGCAATGAGTAGTCGTGGGTCTTAGAAGGCAACGTGATCTGGAAAGCAGGGGGGCTCGACTTCCAGCGAGTGCTTTCGGTTTCACACTGTTGGTGAGGGGATGCTTCATCTGACATGGAAAAGAAGTGTTTCCTCGCCGCGTTGCTGTCGCCGTCACAGTGTGCGCACTCGGATCAGATGTTGTTGAATAATAGAAGGGGTCGGAATAGTTACTAAGAATATTCCCCTGTGGCCCCTTTATAATTATACCACAATAGCCCCCCAAAACCCTGTTCTAATTGTTAAGGTCCCTTTATCATATCATGCGGCGGCATGCTGCCCCTGCCCTGAGGGTCTCCTACTCGATGGCTGCTTCCTGTTCAGGGTTTAGGGTTTAGGGTTTAGGGTTTAGGGTTTAGGGTTTAGGGTTTAGGGTGAATCTCCAGCGATCCTGCTCTCAATTTGCTCTTGACAGTATGCCTCGCACAGAGCGAAAAGCTAGAACCCAGAGTAGGCCCTTCTTCCCCCTTTTGTTTAGGGTTTCGGAACCCAAAGAGGGTACCCTTTTCTAGGTTCGTCTTGGGTCTAGAAAAGCAAGAAAAGCTTCGACTCTCCGAATTGGCGAATTGGGAGTTGCGCAGGGTTTAGGGGTTCTTGAAGTTTAGTCCGGAAGTAACCCAACATCCTAGACACCCTGAACCCTAAACACTAAAAGCACTCTACACACGCTAGACTCTTCGACCCTTCGATCTACCCATATTTCTTCAAGTCAAGGCCGCACGACCCAAGGAAGGAAAGTGCAGTCGCGGCTGTAAGTCAGGTCTGGCCGCCCTCCCCCAAGTGCGGTCCTTACAAAAGGGGGATCCCCTGATTTGGGGGTCTCTATTGGGGTCCCCTATCTTCGTAAACCCCCCCAAGCACCCTTTGAGATTGGATCATATACATAGCGAGTTCTCAAAATGATGGTCCCTTTTTGGGTACCCTGAACATATTTGGGGCCGCTTTATAATCGTGACCCCCCAAAAGAGACCACATTTTAGAGAAGCGATGATATGTGTGAGAATGAGGTTCCGAATTTCGGGGACCCATCAGAGGTTGGTTTTACGTGCGTAAGATTCCCTCATAGTTGTTCAAGTTTAGGGTAGCCCTAAATCCTAAACCCAAAAAGAACTCCACCCCTTCTCCAATGTTGTCACTGGAGCACCATGTGTGTGTCGCATTTTTGGTCCTACTCCACGAGGGCCATTGTGCCATTTAAGTACGGGCGACTGCTGCCAGCCTTAGGACCTTGCTTCACGGTGTAAGGTTTAGAGTTTAGGGTAGGGTTTAGCGTTTAGGGTTAGGGTTGGGCATATAGGGCTGGGGTAGGATATGTAAAGGGCTGGAGTGGGAAGAGCAAACCCGCCACGATCCGGTTCTGGGACGTAGACTGCACACACCAACCCCGGGGCAACCATGCCTCTACTCCGCAAGGCCAAGCCACACGTAGCTACCTTCACTCACAAATCGCAAGCCCTAAGCCCTAAACCCTAAACCCTAAACTCTAAACCTTATTTGAACCCTGATTAAACCCTCTTTAAACCCCAATTAAACACTAAGTAAACCCTGAGCAAACCCTAAGTAAACCCTAAACCTTAAAGCTGACTGTGACGGAGTGCCGAGCGCATGGCATGCTGACTTGCCGAAGCGGCCATGGAGGAGTCTGGGAACTGTTAGGATTGAAATGGGGGGGGGGGGTTGATTTAAGGGTTTGTTTAGGGTTTAGGGTTCAGGGTTTAGGGTTTAGGTTTACGGTTTAGGGTTTAGGGTTTAGGGTTTACGGTTGACGATTTGCGGTTCAGGGTTTAGTTTAGGGTTTAGGATGGGAAATATAGGACCAGGACTCTTCGGGGAGAGGTATTTTGATCAACTACCACAGTGCGTGGGGTTGCGAAGAGGCTGACTGGATGACTGGATTGATAAGAGCTGCTTCAAAGGATGGTATTTTCTATCGTTCCCCAAGGGTTTAGTATACTTTCTGGGCAGTTTGTCTAAATTAGGCTTTCTTTGGTTCCCAGAAAAAGTACGGGCACGTTGTACAAAGCATCCCAAAAACCCTAGTTTTAGAAAACTACCCTTTGTTTCTTCAAAATCTAGGGAAATAGAAACCCCAAACCCTAAACCCCAAACCCTAAACCCTAAACCCTAAATCCAATTGAGCACTCAAAGAGAAGAGAGCTGACAGCCCTAAGCCCAGCAAACCGGGTCCCGGCTTGGTGTTTTTCTCTGCCTTTGTTGTTTGGGGGTTTAGGGTTTAGGGTTTAGGGTTTAGGGTTTAGGGTTTAGGGTTTAGGGTTTAGGGTTTAGGGTTTAGGGTTTAGGGTTTAGGGTCGAGGTTGAGGGTTCTAGGATTCAGGGCTTGCTGGCTAGTTTACCTGCATTTGGCTGATACTTTCGCGGCATCGCGTTTCCATGTCTTGTTGGCTTCCTTCGCTTCTCACCTACAAGTGCTGCTGCCGATATCCTGACTTTCTCGTCTTTGCCTCGGCTTTGTTAGAGGGCTTGAGTTTGTTTTTGCTTATTAGGGTTTAGGGTTTAGGGTTTAGGGTTTAGGGTTTAGGGTTTAGGGTTTAGGGTTTAGGGCTGTAGGGCTCAACGCCACATGGGCGGGGCCCCTGGAGGTCATCACGCTTCAGTTTGGCCACTTCGCCAACCACGTCGAGCCCTCGGTCTCGCCTAAACCCTTCAACCCCAAACCCTAAACCCTGGTTCTCCCTATTCAGCAAAAAAGGCACAAAGTCCCTAATCCCAGCCCGAAACCCTAAACCCTAAACCCTAAACCCGAAACCCGAAACCCGAAACCCTAAACCCTAAACCCTAAACCCTAAACCCTAAACCCTAAACCCTAAACCCTAAACCCTAAACCCTAAACCCTAAATGTCGGGTTTGGGGCTTAGGGTTATGGACTTCAGAAGCCCTCGAGGCCGGACTTCTACAGCCTGGTGATGTGGCTCTGTTTGCACGCTTGCAAGCAAGATTCCGACATCTCCATGGCGGGAGATGGCTGATTGTCAGGGGGCAGCATTAGGGTTTAGGGTTTAGGGTTTCGGGTTTAGGGTTTAGGGCTTTGAATGGTTGCAGGTCGTCTGCGAGACCATGGCAGCAGTGCTTGCAAGAGTCGCCTGGGCCCGGAGGTTCGCTAAAGTTGGAACCTCTCAACTTCCAACCCCTAACCCCTAAACCCTAACCCCTAAACCCTGAACCCTAAACCCTAAACTCTAAACCCTAAAACCCTGAAACCCTGAAACCCTAAAACCGACATGGTCCTTGACACCTGCCATGAGCTGGCATTTGATGCGTTGGGAGCAACCTCGTAGGGGTTTAGGGTTTAGGACCCTAAACCCTAAACCCTAAACCCTAAACCCTAAACCCGAAACCCGAAACCCCAAACCCTAAACCCTTAACCCTAAGGCCCCTCAAGGCGTAGATCTTGTACAGGGAGCTTATAGGGCGTAGCAGGAAGCCCCTAATGCCCTGAAGCTGTAGATCCCTAAACTCCCCCACGGCTTATTATGCCCTGAAGTTCGAGATATGGATTCCTACAGTTTTGAAGCCCTGCAAGCGGCTGAGTACACATAGGTTTGTGGATAGTTGACATATGCGCCTATAGCAATCTTAAACCCGGAGTCCCACATCCCCTGCAGCCCTAAGCCCTGAAAGCCCTGAGCAGGCCTGCCACCTAAACCCTAAACCCCAAACCGCAAACCGAACACCCCAAACACCAAACCCAAAACCCCAAGCCCCAAAACCCTAAACCCTAAATCCTAATCCCTAAACCCTAAACCCGACACCCTAAACCCATCCCCTAAACCCTAAACCCCAAACCCTAAACCCCAAACCCTAAATCCCAAACCCTAAACCCTAAACCCTAAACCCCAGGTCGGGGCACACTACTGGAACCTCCAGGATGAAGCTGCGGCGCAGGAGGCAGGGTGCTCGGGGGTGTACTTACGAGTTTAGGGCCCAGGGTTAGGGTTTAGGGTTTAGGGTTTAGGGTTTAGGGTTTAGGGTTTAGGGTTTAGGGTTTAGGGTTTAGGGTTAGGGTTTAGGGTTTAGGGTTTGGGGTTTGGGGTTTGGGGTTTAGGGTTTAGGGTTTAGGGTGTAGGGTTTAGGGTTTAGGGTTTAGGGCCCTAAGGTCGTAAGGTTCGTTTCTAGAAGTTGAGGCTTTAGGGCCTACCAGCTCTAGGACTGAGAGTGGGTCGTGATTATTTCTCTTTAAGTTGGGTTTCCTTAAAAAAACCCTCTAAACAAACATGGCCAGGATTTAGGGTGTAGGGTTTAGGGCTTAGGGTGGGTCTGGCATTCATTCAGGCTCTAGACGGAACTTCCAGGTTTGAATGAAGGAGTCGCCCCGACGGCAGAATTAGTAGGATCCTCTATGTGTTCCTTGAACTAGGGTTTAGGGTTTAGGGTTTAGGGTTTAGGGTTTAGGGTTTAGGGTTTAGGGTTTGGGGTTTAGGGTACAGGGTATGTCGGCTGAGCAAATGACAGGAGAGCGCGGGAGACGATGAGGAAGGCTTGCCCCAGCCTTACTGGGGGTCCTTACTCGTGAAGGCTCATGGGTACCTATACAAAAGATGTAACCAGTTTCAACCATAGTTACCCTACCCTTAACCCTGTATAGGGGTTAGGGTTTAGGGTTTAGGTTTTAGGGTTTAGGGTTTAGTGTCTAAGGCTGAGGGTTTAGGGGTAACTATTGTTCATTTATTTTGGGGCTTTACCCTACGTTTACTTCTGTTTAGAAGAATCCATGAACCTCCAAGCAATTGCTGATCCCCAATGCCTTGCCACTGCAGGAGCACCTGCTGCACAGAACCTAAACTCCAAACCCTAAACCCTAAATCCTTGTCAAAACCTAAACCAGAACCCTAAACCCTACGTACCTAAACCCTAAACCCTAAACCTCAACCATAAACCCTAAACCCTAAACCTTTAGTACGCACACCCCAGCGGCCAAAGGATCGACCATACGCGGCTGTTCCATGCTGCAGAGTCGCACGGCCAACTTTCCTGGAGGCCGGTTCAAAGGGTTGGGATGTTCCCCCTCGTACTAGCAGTCCTGATCAGGGAACCCTAAACCCTAAACCCTAAACCCTAAACCCTAAACCCTAAATAATCCCTACGGAGGATTGTTAGTATAAGGGTGAACATCCCCGGTTTAGGGGGAAGGTTTGCGGCCTGGCTTGGGATCTTGGGTTTAGGGTTTAGGGTTTAGGGTTTAGGGCTTAGGGTTTAGGGTTTAGGGCTTAGGATGAGGCGGACACATCCACCACGGCGTTAAGGGTTTGGCGTTTAGGGTGTTCTAGAAGCCCTGAAACTTAAACCCCAAACGCCCAGAAGTCGAAATGTCTCCAATTACCCTAGCTACCCCAAAGCCCTGCACTCAAAACCCTAGACCCCGGCAAGCCCAAAACCCCCCAACCCCCTAAACCCTAAACCCCTAAACCCTAAACCCTAAATCCTAAACCCAAAACCCTAAATCCCTTAAGCCCTAAACCCTTCAAAGGCCTCGAGCCATGGTTGTTGACCGCGCCGGCGCCCTGGGCGCCGTCGTGCCCGCGAAGGCGGGGTGACCCTAAGCCCTAAGCCCTAAGCCCTAAGCCCTAAGCCCTAAGCCCTAAGCCCTAAGCCCTAAGCCCTAAGCCCTAAGCCCTAAGCCCTAAGCCCTAAGCCCTAAGCCCTAAGCCCTATACCCTAAAGTCTTTGCTGAGGGCTCGCTACCAACACTTGAGAGCCCGAAGCCGTCCGAGCTTCGCGAGCGACCTGAGAGCACTGAACGTGCAGCCCAGGTAAAGCTGGGGCTGCTGGACGCTCCAAGGCAAGGCAAGGCCCACACTGGCCGTCAAGGCGGTCGAGCCTTTGAGTGTCAAAGGTAAAGACCCTAAACCCAAGACCTTTTGCTGGTGCAACCTGGCCCCCCCCCAAGGACCGTTGCTGGTGCAACCTGGCCCCCCCCTCAAGGACCGTTGCTCGTGCAACCCGGCCCCCCCACCAGATTTGCTGGTGCAACCTTGGGGCCCCCCCCTCAAGACCATTGCCAGGCTCAGACCGCCCCGGAACCTTTGCGGGGCTTGCTTTTCCCGGACCATTTCCGACCGTTTTTCCCTTTTCCGGACCAAAACTGAGCAATTTGGGCTTCCCAGACCATTTCTTGGGCTTCTCCCAGCTTTTCTCCCAGACCAGTTCGGAGCTTTGATTTTTGAGCCTCTTTGGCCTTCTGCCAGCTTTTTTGGGCTTGGCTCAGACCCTTTCTGAGCATTTCTGAGCTCCAGACCATTCCTCAGCCTTTTGGGCTTCTCCCAGACCATTTCTGAGAGCTTTTTTTCTGCTCTTCCCGACCATTTCTGAGCTTTCTTGGGCTTCGTGCAACCCGGGCCCCCACCAAAAAATTGCTGGTGCAACCCGGGCCCCCCTCAAGGACCGTTGCCGGGCTCAGACCGCCCCCTGAGCCTTTTTCAAGCCATTTCTTAGCTTGCTTCTCCCCGACCGTTTCGAGCCTTTTTGGGCTCCCCAGACCATTTTTGAGCCTTGGGCTCTTTCTGGGCCTTCTCCCAGACCATTCCTGAGCCTTTTCTGGGCTCCTCCCGAACCATTTCTGGGCTTTTTGGGCTCCTCCATCTTAGGTTTTTGGGCTTCCCCCTGACCATTTCTCCGCGTTTTTGGGCTCCCCCCAGACCATTCCTGAGCCTTTTTGGGCTTCACCCATTTCTGAGCCTTTTTGGTGCTTCTTTGGCAGAAGCTCCCAGGCCATTGAGGAACCTTTTGGGCTCTCCCAAACGGAAAACTTGCAAACATTTCTTTTGTGTTCACAACAAAGCTTCTCCAAGCCCCCCTCACAAAGGCTTTCGGTAACCTCCAGAAGCATGGGAGGCTCTGGACGCTTCCAGGAGCTTTGAAAGCTTTGGCAGCCTCCAAAAGCTTCGAAAGCCCAAATTCTGACGAGGGAGAGTCGTATCGGGACGCTGGCCCGGTCGAGGGGCATCGCTACCCCTTGGGTAACCCAAACCAATCAGCCACCCCACGACATTTTCACAGCCTTGTCTTGGTCAAGGGAGATCGTATCGGGACGCTGGCCCGGCCGAGGGGCAGCGCTACCCCTTCGGTAACCCAAACCAATCAGCCACCCCACGACATTTTCACAGCCTTGTCTTGGTCAAGGGAGATCGTATCGGGACGCTGGCCCGGTCGAGGGGCAGCGCTACCCCTTCGGTAACCCAAACCAATCAGCCACCCCACGACATTTTCACAGCCTTGTCTTGGTCAAGGGAGATGAGGGGCAGCGCTACCCCTTCGGTAACCCAAACCAATCAGCCACCCCACGACATTTTCACAGCCTTGTCTTGGTCAAGGGAGATCGTATCGGGACGCTGGCCCGGTCGAGGGGCAGCGCTACCCCTTCGGTAACCCAAACCAATCAGCCACCCCACGACATTTTCACAGCCTTGTCTTGGTCAAGGGAGATCGTATCGGGACGCTGGCCTGGTCGAGGGGCAGCGCTACCCCTTCGGTAACCCAAACCAATCAGCCACCCCACGACATTTTCACAGCCTTGTCTTGGTCAAGGGAGATCGTATCGGGACGCTGGCCCGGTCGAGGGGGAGCGCTACCCCTTCGGTAACCCAAACCAATCAGCCACCCCACGACATTTTCACAGCCTTGTCTTGGTCAAGGGAGATCGTATCGGGACGCTGGCCCGGTCGAGGGGCAGCGCTACCCCTTCGGTAACCCAAACCAATCATCCACCCCCACGACCTTTTCACAGCCTTGTCTTGGTCAAGGGAGAGACGTATCGGATGCTGGCCCGGTCGAGGGGCAGCGCTCTTCGGTAACCCAAACCAATCAGCCACCCCCACGACCTTTTCTTGGTCATCGGAGAGTCGTATCGGGACGCTGGCCCGGTCGAGGGGCAGCGCTAACCCCAACTGCTTTGTGTCGATGGTTTCCGCGCTGGCAAACGAGGATCGCAGACAAGGGATGCCAAACGCCCGCAAAGAAGCACGTCGGGACGCTGGCCAGGTCGAGGGGCAACGGTACCCCTACGGTAACCCAAACCAATCTGTGAGACCTTTGATGATGAAGGGCTATCCCCCCGACCTTTCACAGCCTAGGGGCAGCGTTTTCCACAACTTCACATCTTTGCAGCCCTGCCTCAGCGAGGCTCAGATCGGGACGGTGCAGAAACAGCGCGCGCAGGGGCACAGCATGCCCTCGCTGGAAAAAGCAAAACAAGACTTTAGGAACTAAACCCTAAAATAGATATGCCGGGTGGCTTGGGGTGGGCTTACCGCCACGCGATGTTGCGAGCGACCCGGGCAGAGGGGCCGGTTATAAAAAATAAGGTGAGGCCCCGGAGCCTAGCGAGCAACCCAGAACGTAACACACCCTAAACCCTAAACCCGAAACTCCCCATGTTCAATGAATGGTTCGGTGTCGAGCCTGCACTCCCTGCCAGAGATATTTCTGTCTGCTTTTTATGACTCTATGACTAGCATTCCGAAGCGATTGCAAGGAAAACGGAGCGACTGGGCAAGAGCTCCAAAAAGGTTTAGGGCTTAGGGTTCAGGGTGAGATTTGGCGTTGAGAAAGCCCAATTCAATGCCCCAGTATTCGGACATGCTCTATAGGGATCATGAAGACTTGAGGTCTTCATGCCTAAGCTAAGGTTGCCGGACATTTTGGGTGTTTTGTAACCCTAAACCCTAAACCCTAAACCCTAAACCCTAAACCCTAAACCCTAAACCCTAAACCCTAAACCCTAAACCCTAAACCCTAAACCCTAAACCCTAAACCCCTAAACCCTAAACCCTAAACCCTAAACCCTAAACCCTAAACCCTAAACCCTAAACCCTAAACCCTAAACCCTGAACCGTTTCGGGTTCAGGGCTGGGTCCATGGCTTAGGCTTACTGGGATCCTAAAGTCCACAGTCCTCGGACGTGTTGGGCTCCCCAAGTTCCTACACTTCCAGGCCTGTGTTTAGCGTTATAGGGTTTAGGGTTTAGGATTTAGGGTTTAGGGTTTAGGGCCAGGGTTGAGCGTTCAGGGTTTGGGGAAGGGTTTACCAGCGTTTGTCAGGGGATTTGGGGGGTTCTCCCTATATTGCAGGTTGCCTTACCGACTCATGAGAATCGAGAGACCGCCAAGGTCTAGGTTGGTAGGGTTCCGTGCTTAGGGCGGTTTAGGGGCAGAGGCTTGAAGAGCTTTTTTTTTTGGGGGGGGAGGGGGGACATCTTGCTGCTGGGGTCAAGAATGTGGCCCTAAACCTCAACCTAAAAACAAAGCCCTTTTACGGGTCATTGCGGGGCCGGCCTGTGGGTTGGTTGCAGGGCTTGTCGGTGGACCCGGCTGCGGATGAAGAGGCCTGGCTGTCGGCTGTTTCGCGGTAGTTAGGGCATGTAGTGTTTAGGGTTTAGGGTTAGGGCTTTGGGTTTAGGGTTCAGAGTTTAGGTAGGGTGTTTTGGGGTATGTAGGTTCCGGGTGTTTCATTGGGGCGTTTATTTGGGGTTCGGGCCGTAGACGTCCGGGTCGGCCCTCGAAATCTCGGAGGGCGAGGTGGGCATCTGGGGTTACTCGACAATTTCCCGGTCGTATCTAGAACTGCCTTTTTGTCAGGTGCACTGTAGCTTCCCTTATAAACCCAAAAACCCTGAATCCCCATAGGCAGCCTAAACCCCTATAAACCCCTATAAACCCCTATAAACCCCTCTAAACCCCTCTAAACCCTCATAAACCCCTATAAACCCCCAAGAGTTCTGAGTGAGCCTAGCCTAACCCTCTGCATCCTTGGTGGGTTCGGACCCGAAACATCACGGGCGCTCCCAAGACCACCGCCCCAAAGGGTTACCTCCAAGAATCTGAGCTTCAAAGTCCCATGTTTTTGTTTATGTGAGGGATTTAGGGGCTTAGGGGGGATTAGGGGCTTGCTTGGAGGCTCACGGTACTCGCGACCCCAATGATAGCTTGACTGTCCTCTAAATATGATACCCTGAACCCTAAGCCCTAAACCCTAAACCCTAAAGCCCTAGATGTCTAATTGGGGTTCTAAGTACCCATGAACCTCCAAGGGGTTTGTGGTTTAAGAATTCTGGGGCTTTACAGACTTCCTGGTTTCAGGACTTCAGGACTTTACAGTTCAAGGTTCAAGGTTTAGTTTAGGCTTTAGGGTTTAGGGTCTAGGGTTTAGGGTCTAGGGTTTAGGGTTTCGGGTTAAGGGTTTAGGGTTTAGGGTCTAGGGGTAGAAGCATCCCGACGAATCATGTGCTCCGGGTCTTTGACATGTGAACTAAACCCGGAACTCGACAGTCCAGCCTTCCCAAAGCTCCAAACCTTAAACCCCAACCCCCCCCCCCCCCTTGAAACCAAACAAACCGCATTTCCCCCTTAAGTAGCGGAACTATAAATATAAATATAAATATAAATATAAATATAAATATAAATATAAATATATTTATTTATTTATTTTTTTGCATGTATTTATTTATTTATACATATATATATATCTACATACATATATACACATATATATATATGTATGTATGTATGTATGTATATATATATATGTGAAT